CTCCCCAGGGCTGAGGAGAGGGGCAGGATCACCTCCCTCGTCCTGCTGGCAACACTCTGCCTAATGCACCCCCAGGATCCCGTTGGCCTTCTTGGCCACAAGGGCGCATTGCTGCCTCATGCTTAACTTGTTGTCCCAGGTCCCTCTCTGCAGAGCTGCTTTCCAGCAGGTCAACCCCCAGCCTGTACTGGTGCATGGGATTATTCCTGCCTAGGTGCAGGACCCTGCGCTTGCCTTTGTTGAACTTCATGAGGTTCCTCTCCGCCCAGCTCTCCAGCTTGTCCAGGTCCCTCTGAATGGCAGCACAGCCTTCTGGTGTGTCAGCCTCTCCCCCCAGTTTAGTATCATCAGCAAACTTGCTGAAGGTGCACTCTGTCCCTTCCTCCAGGTCATTGATGAATATATTGAACAAGACTGGACCCAGGACTGACCCCTGGGGGACACCACTAGCCACAGGCCTCCAACTTGACTCTGCGCCATTCACCACAACCCTCTGAGCTCGGCCATCCAGCCAGTTCTCAAGCCACCTCACTGTCCACTCGTCTCGCCCACACTTCCTGAGTTTACCTAGGAGGATGTGATGGGAGACAGATCTATCTGGGCTGATCTTTCAGATCTGACAGGGCTGATCTTTCAGAACAGCCAGCATGCATGAGAGGACTACCCATTTTGGTCCCAGCAGGCCCCAGGCTCACTGTCAGGCAGGAGAGAGACTGTGACTCCAGATACCCTCAAAACATCCTCTTCCTCAGCAGGTCCTGCTTCTGTCTTTTGCTACCCACTATCAGGCCCAATCATCCTAAATAATGTAGCAAAAGAAAAGATAGGACACAGAGAAGAGGAAGGCAGATTGCAAGCGGGAGGCTTGGAGGGAAGACAGGCTTTAGAGACTGCAAACCCTTTGCACAAGAGCATATCACACATACCAGAGGCACAAAAGCTAGCCAAAGCCATGACAGCTGGGCAAAGCACAGTTACTTCATCAAAAAAAAAAAAAAAAAGAACAAAAAACAAAAAACACAGAGACTTCGAGAAGGAGGAGTTACCCATCCAGAACCACTGAAATGGGAATTGCTGAATATTTTCAGGAATTCAGATTTCAAATGCTGTTTGTGAAGTTTGGACAGTTCCCTTGGTACCTACCCGCAGGACCTGCCCTGCCAGGAGATTCTCATTGGTATCCAGCTGCTCGTAATTCACCAAGAGATTTGCAATCCAAGGCTGCAAGACGTAGACTTTAGAAGAAGACATGTCCTTGTTTTCATACACAAACCTGCAAAAGAAGAAACGAGGCACATCTGAACAGCAAGATACGGCGAGTCTCCAAGTCCAAGCAATAGTTTCACACCAAGCAATGACACAACCCTGGGAGCTGGCTCAAGTCCCCACTGACAGCAAAATGCACCCACTTCTCGGGGATGGCACCCCAAGCTGGGTCTGACTCATTAACCCTCGGGCCACTGGCACCAGTAGGAAGCCCTGCCCAGGAAGATGCATCACTGGAGGTACACAGATCCTATGGCATCCACACACGCTGCAGAAGAGCAACATCCTGTCTGGCAGCTTCAGGACCTGAGCAGGAAGATCTTTTTGCTAGCTGTATCAGACCTTCCGCAAGTCAACGACCAAGTTCAGAACGCTTTTTCTCCCCTTCAGGTAGGCTTTATTATCCTCCATCATCTCCTGCGCCCAGGACTCAACCATGACTCTTTCAGTCCCAGAGGGGAGAAGGGGTCTCTCTTCACTGTGCAGCTGTGCAACGGGAGCCAGCTGGACCCGGTCACTGCGCCAAAAGAGCACCTCTTGCCGCAGGGCGCCAGGGACAGGCTGGATTCCAGGTGACACCTCAGAGAAGAGCCTGCCTGGCCCAGAGCTCGCGGGGGTCCCGCTCCCAGGCGGGGACGTCGCCCGCGGCCGCTCGGCCGCTCTCAGGCGGGGGACGCCGCGGCCCA